TAAATGTACGGTGCGCGAGAATTAAAAACTACACAATGTTTAAAGGCTAATAACTTTTGACCTAAAAAAAGATATTTTAAAAAGGAAGCCGCTATTTTGTAGCTAAATCAATTTATTACAACATAACGGCTTTATTTGTTAAAAAGTTATATTAATGTTTTAAGATATATAGCTTTAAAAAATTAGTATTTTTATATGTTAACATATAAAATTTCTTAAAATTATCAAAACATAAGTTATTAATTTTTAATACAAAAAAAAAATATTAAAAAATAATTTTTAAAAAATCGTCAATAGTTACTAAATAGAAAGTCAAAATTTCACTATCAGCTATGTAAATTGGTATTCACGTATTAAGTAAAGTCGTTCGAAAGATCAAAATACACCTATTCTAGAAGTTTTATTCAGATAATAGGATTCTGCTTATTACGATCGTGCGAATCAATTTTTTAAAAATTTCGCATAATCGTAATAAGTAAAAAAAAATTTGTGAAACTTTTAGAATAGACATATTTTGACTTTCGAACAACTTTACTTATTAATATATGAATATCGATTTACATAGTAAATTTTTGACTTTACTATATAGTAACTATTGACGACCTCAAAATGGGACAAATGTAGTCTTTAAGTGTCGCGCGCACTATAGTAATATTATTACATGTAATATATAAGTTATTGGTTTTTGTAATAAATAATTATTATATTATTACATTCACTGTTTGAATTATGGCACCAATCATTATGAAAAAAAATGCAAAACATCCAGAAAACAGACGTGTAAACTTATTGTAATTCTCCGACATGTGTTCCCTCCCCAACCTCACCGGGGAAACACCCGTGAGCTATACCTTGCAACAATTTTAGAGACTAAATTTTAATTAATACTCAGGCACCTAAATATGATACTATCATAATTTTATGTATCGAGAAAAGCATAATATAACATATTATTACTGATCATGAGTATTACACTAGTTGTGTTATAAATTACTTTCTTATACTGTAGCTAAATTTATTGATTCCTTATTAGCATATTTATAAATAAATAAATACAATTTTCACTACCTACAACTTAACCAACTTAACCGCATCTCTAGTTTAAATAAAAAAATTTATTCACAACACTTATGTATAACAGTTTCTTTTAACCTAATTATCGTTCGTTTATCCATTATTTGAAAAGAGCAATGAAGAATTTTTCATGAACTCGGATCGACATGATCAATTTTCAGATTCTAACAACGTAAAAAATCCAAAATTTAGATCACATTCAATTTTTGGATCCTTAAAAATATTCGTGCGACCATGTCCGTACGAAACACTACACATTAATGATATTACTGTAAATTTAAAAAAAGAGACTCAGCACTGGCTTTTATTTCAAAAAATTATTTCGTAAAAAAAGTTTTTATTTTAGTAAAATCCGACCTTACTGGGTCATGAAAATCAAACCATTCGAATAATTACGAATCTAAAATTGAAAAACTCAAACTCAGCCAACGTCCGAAGCTAAAAAGCTAGTAATATATATATTTATATAGAAAGTCTAATAAAGCATTCCAAGGAATGTATATGCACATTAAGGATTTTTGATTAATTGCATTTTCAACCACGAAGACGAAGGACCAAGTGAAGAGTGGCCTCCTTTTGTATGTTATAATCAGAGAGTTTACGACCATCTTCCAATTGTCTACCAGCAAAAATCAAGTGTTGTTTGTCTGGTGGTATACCCTCTTTGTCATGGATTAAACGTTTTAAATCATCAATAGTGTTGGATGGATTTACAGAAAAAACGATGGTTTTACCAATTAAATTTTTAACAAATATCTGAAAATCACCATCATGTCGTATGATCATGTAAATAGTGGACTCCTTTTGTATGTTATAATCAGAGAGTTTACGACCATCTTCCAATTGTCTACCA